GAGCCCTTTTGTGACTTCTGTTTTGATCAGCGCTATATGAGTACTTTATGATTAGTTTATGCTTACGTTGCCACGACAACATGCATCGTTGCCATGACAACACGCGCTGCAATAAATCATGTGTGCGCGCCGAATTTGGCTCATCTGTCAGGTGCGTTTTGTGTGGTCCTTCAGGCCTCGGCTATTCTTAACCCCCCACACTAATATTATAATTATTGCTGCCATGTAATGACACAACACGGCTGTGGCTCCCCGTCGCTGATACGCAGCCTTATAATGACTACTTGTACCACAGCAGCCCTCTCTGCTGTAACAGTTTACCCACCGCAGCACATCACATCTCGCTGCACTGATCTGGCGGCCTATTTATTACGTAGCTGGCTGCTGTTACTGCTGCTCCACTCCACCCAGCCTCCACCTGCTTTCAGCTCTGCTCTGTTTGTGCGCACCCTGGAGGGCGTTTATTTCTAAGTTAATAACCACTGGGGGATTATTTGCAATGGTCCCTGCATGTTATTTATCACTGTGCCACGTATTTCATTCTGCTGCGCCGTGCCGCCACAGCGGGGAGCCTCACCGAGAGGGGAACCATATTGCCGAGACAATTCGCATTTCCATTTTTATTTGCTGTGTGACATGACGGTTCCTGACAGAATTAAACTTAAAATGGGGGGAATTAATGGTAAACAACACGCGGCGGACGACAGATTTCTTCTCCTAAAGATCCCCTATAGTTCTCTGTCCTACCTCCAGCTTGTAAACAAACGTAGATATAATGATTTTTTTACACACAATGCACAGGAAACCAGACGACGACGACAACACGTGGCTCTGCAGTTCGGCCTTATCCTCTTTCCGCTCTGGTTGAAGTCTTACAATGCATTACACAGCCTTCATCAATGCTTATTGCCGTCGTGTAATCTGCAGTCACTGGATGTCAGATCTCTTGTCACTCTCAGCATGTGAAGGAAAACAGCTGCCAACCGCCGCTCGTCTCCCCGCGACTCTCACAGCGTCAAACCCAAACTATTTATTTACTACAATTTACAACCGTTTTTTTTGTTTTTTTTAATCTTTCAAGTCATTTCTCTGCGCTGCCTACTTCCTGGACAGTAATCGTGTCGCTTTTCATCTTCACAGAACCTCGTATAGATTCGCACACTCAAGTTCTGGCCCCGTTTCTTGGCATCTGTGTTGGTGGGCTGCGTGAAATGTGTTGCTTCTATTTTTAGTCCTCATTATCTCTTTCGTTTACAGTATAGCCTCTTTTTCTATGTATTTTTGTCGTGTTTTCTGTTACACTTTGGGAACAATACGCTTGTTTTTTTGTGAATAATTTAACTTGACAGCTAATTGTGTCTGACAGGACGTATTTCTGTTTCTATGGAGGCACCAAACGGAGCATCGAGGCTTCAGGACGACGTGATCATGAATTCTGTTGCAGCCACTTTTCTCAGCACTGTGAAAAGTATGTTATGAGAAAATGTCACGACTATTTCATTCTAACGGCAGTTTTTAGAAGGTATGTTTGATTTTTATCATGACAAGACAAAAGGCTTTCAAGCAGAGAATGAATTAATTTCTTGTGCCAGATGTGGTTCAGAAAAAACACAATGACTTAACATGAGAAATGCTTCAGATGGACAGTTCATCTCTTAGATAACTTTGGCCACGATTGTTAAAGTGCAAATACAACAGAGCGTTCCCTACAATGTCATAAAATAATGTAAAATAAAACACTCATTAGTACTGAATGTTAAAGAGGAACATGCAAGCTGGTGACCCCTCTGACTTATTGTGTAGGAAAACGAAGCAGAAGCTATATTTTTGTAAAATAAAATATGTATATATTTTGGCGCTGGTTCGCGTCCCTGTGGGGGCAATGGGATCTTTCTGCGTGGAGTCTCCATGTTCTCCCCGTGCAGTGTGGGTTCTCTCCGGGTTCTCCGGCTTCCTCCCACACAGTCCAAAAACATGTTGAGGTTAATTGGTGATTCTTAATTGTCCGTAGGTGTGAATGTGAGTGTGCTTGGTTGTCTGTCTCTAAGTGTAGCCCTGTGATAGACTGGTGACCTGTCCAGGTGAACCTGCCTTCACCCTGAGTCAGCTGGGATAGACTCCAGCCCCCCACGACCCTAGTGAGGATTAAGCGGTGTATAGATAATGGATGGTGGATGGATGTCTATATGTGCACTAAGATAATATTTAGAGTTGTTTTATATCAAACTTGTGATGTCACAAAAGGAGTAGCAGCCAAGCTAAGCTGAGTTTAGCAAAAAGAAATGTGGATGATGACAGTAGTTTTGACACTGAAGAAATCAAAAATGTATATCTACATATGTGTGATGGACCACAGGTTTTCAATTATGTGTCACAGGGACCAGGAACAGGCGGGGATGAGAAGAAGAAACTCATTTTTATGCACACAATCACATGTCAGGACGTAACACCACTAGTATCGGCTCATAGAAGTTTAGAGAGAGCTGACTACATTACAAGTCTGTCAACATAAATGAAAACAGTCTGCATGTTAGTCAGGCTCATGGATCTGTAACCACGGCTCCTCCTGCAGCATCCCAACCTGCTGCTGATGGTCGAATGTAAGCAGCTGTTTGCACTGAAGTACCAGCATCAGGTTTCAGTCTCACACACTGTGGCTTAAACATCCCGTCTAGACCTCCATCTTGTCCCCCTACAATAAGCCCAGCAACACAACACAACAACTTTCTCTTTACAGGTGCAGCAGTGACGTGTTTTCATCTGTACAAAACCCATCCCGGCACAGAAAAACGTCATCTATTTAAATCACCAGAACTACCACCAACTACTGCACAGCGCACTGATGCATGGACGACATCCTCATGTGATCTAATGTGTTTTCTAAAAAAGCTAACTTCTTCATTTACATTTTTTCCTCTATGTGGGATAAAACATTTAATATCACACTTTTCAAACAGTCATTTCAACAACAATTAGGTAGAAATTAAGTGGAAAAATTCAACCTGCAAGCTGCTCTTTGATGCTTAGTGAGATTTCTGTTAGCATTGTTAAGCTAGTTAGCAGTGAGCAGAAAAATGTATCTCGTATTTATGGTAAGACTACAAAGAGTACAGCTCCTCCAGACTCTTTAAGAGTCTCTTATAGGCCCCCAAGCACATTGTCTTCATATCTCGTGAAATACAAAGCTTGACAGAACTGCAGCGCCGCCCGGGGTCGAGTTCAGCTGCTAAGCTTTGACTATAGACTGTATATAAAAGCTGGATGTAGCCGCTGGGTTTGAAAAGTGACGCAAACGCATTAGTGCCTTGAGCCTGCGTTCTTTCTAACAACCAGCAGGGGGCGACTCCTGCTGGCTGGTTCTATAGAAGTCTATGAGAAAGTGAGCTTAATTCTCATTTAATTTGTCACCTCAGTAAACATTTTGATAACGAGTTTGTGGTCGCATTCACTAGTTTGAAGTCTTCCTAAACACAGCATGAAGTTTATTTTATAGATTCTGGTCTCATTTAGAGGAAAATACATGTAGAAAGTTTGGTTTGTTTCTTGTGATTGACATGTGGCAAAGGCCAAATGTCAAACTTGAGGCTAGTTGACAAACTCATGAGTGACGGCACAGAGTCCATGTGTTATATTCAGTCTATCGCTATGAGGATTTGAGTTTTTTGTTTGTACCTCTTCCTTCACATTCCTGCATCCAGTCACTCAAGCCTTATGACCCGTTTTCTGTCTAATGTGTACATGTAAAGTTAATGTGACATCACCAATAAATATACATGCTCCAAATTAGTCTGTAAAACATTCTACCTGCTTCACTTTCCATCCACGTTTTAAAAACTTCTATCTGCCGCTTTTCGCTTCAAGTCCGTGTTTTCAAACTCCAGACTGAAGCAGCCTTAATTATTCCGTCCACTAACGAGCCTGTCACCGTTTGATTCACTTGCTAATGTCTCCTGCAGGTCCGTTTGACTGAAATGCCCCATTTTCGCTCGACAAGTTATTCACTTCCTGGGCACAAAACATAGATTTTCTTCATAATTTCATGCGTCGCTGCACTTCAGCGGGGAACTCCTGTGTCTTTGGGTACTAACACGAGATACTTAGAATTCCTGAAGGACGCAGCAGGCGTTGTTTTTTCCCCGGAGCTCCTCTGTTAGTATCTCTGACAGCTAAAACAGATGTTCTCCCGTACGTCTGCATCAGCGTATGACATCTCAGGTTGTATTGACAGTCAAACAAACAGAAGAAAACGGCGGCGCGTATAAAAGCCTGCCCATCTTTGTTCTCCCAAAAAGAGGGGGGTTTATGAAGTATAAAGGCTCGTCTCGGCAACAGCTCACCTGTCACGCTGCTTTCGGGTCCCCAACCCGTTCTAAGCACAGATTAACGAAATAAGGAACAAAGCAAAAGGAATTCAAGATGCATGAATGCCAAATCCCCGTGTTGTCGAATCTCTGTCGTGCAGAGGAAGCCAGAACAAACATTTCTCTGCGTTTTTCAAGCCAAATAAAGTGAGTAACACAAAAAAAACAAAAAACACAAAACTTAGCGAGCGTTTCACAGCGAGCTTACGGCCGCCTCCTGCAACATGTAGGAGGTGGACGAGCTCGACATCCACCCAAACCAGCACAAAATCACAGTTTGATTTTCACACTCACACACTTTGGAAGTGAGATAAAGATATTTAGGTTGCTGATTCCACAAAACTAATCCAGCCAATAGATGTCATTACAGCTTTCAGATGTCGTCGCTAAAGGGTGTATTAGAAGCAGCTATTAAACATCCAGGTCGTGCCGCCTGCCAGCTGGCAGCTACGTGGCCAAACTTGACTGTTGAAGTGTTCATTATTTCCTACTATTGGAAAATGCACGCTTTCTTTCCCATATCTGAGACATTTTTGTAAGCCGGAGGAACATTTTCTGCTCGGGATGGAGGGGCAGCGGGAGTCGCAAAGTGGATTTAATTCACTCTACAACTTCCACTAGACCTCCACAAAAGCTTACCTGTGCTCGATTTGATGGTTTCCTGTCCGACCGTTTGTCCGAGCAGGTCGTACTGGTTCAGCCGAGAGCTTTCTCCTTCCACCACAACGGAGTCGGAGGCATTTCTAGTCCAAGCGTAAGTCACTTCTGAGATTGTGTAGGCATCTAAAAGAAGGGAAGAGGATAAAACCCATAGGGGATAAATCTGGGGCAGTCGCAGCTATTGATGATTTTTCGAGAAATTATTTCAGTGACCCAAATGAAAAGCCCCCCACCACCACCCCACTACCCTGCCACTACATTGTGTTTGATGCTGGGTGTCTAGAAAAGAAAAGAAAAACTACTGCAGAGAGAAAGAAAAATCTCTCAGTGGTTGAAGATGTCATTTGTAAAACACCAACAAGCAATCGATGCACAGTGACATTTGCCCTTTTCAATCAGTTACAGCGTACGCGGAATATAAAACGTGAAAGCTGCCAAACCTATGAATGTTTGATGAAATTAAAAAAGAAAAAAAACAAGATTTTTTTCATATTTTTTGCCTCGACATATTCAATAATTGAAATATTCTGCCAATCGTGTCGTGCAATCGCCTGTTATTGTTGCATCAGGGCGGCAAACGAGGCGAGAGATTAATGTGAAATACTGTAGGTCACCATAGAAATGGGCTTGAAAGCAGACGGGATGCTGGATTTACAGGAGAAGTCAAGGCATTTCAGACATGACCAAGCATGTTCTGATGCTCTCATATGAATTAATTGATAATCCCTTGCTTTTAAACAAACAGCTTAAAGCAAAAAAAAAATCATCCAAATGTAAAGAAGCCATGGCAATAAAAGAGATTCCCAAAAGAAAAATATTTGGATGAGTCCGTTCCCGCCTATATTTCCCAGCGACAATCCCACTCCTTCATCTGTAACTTCTTCTATATGTGTTTAAATGCATATTGTGATAAAACATTTTTTTTGTAGGGCCGCTGCCAGAAAACTGAGCCATGCACTCCAGCTTCACTCGGTTCTTAGGCGGCTCTTCTTGCCAAAGAACCAGTGAGGAGAAGAAGAAGAAGAAGAAGAAAAACAAAAACAGAAAGTAGCATTTTTACTTTAAGTTCCCTCAGGCACTATCATCATCAGAGTTACTCACAGCTGCCAAATTTTAGTGGACAGGAATGAAAGTCCATGGGGAAATCCTCCAGATGCATTGGGCACTCTGCATGCACAGTTAACCTGCATCCAATCCACAGAAAATTAAGGAGACTTTGCAAATGCATGAAAAGTAAACAGCACAGATTAGGCACCATGTCAAAAAAAAAGAAATAAAAAAAAACCCTCACAAGCCTCATGCACTATTCAAGACGCTTCCCATCTGTAATGCCTTGAAACAAAAACAATAATTCATCTTAACAGTAATCAGCAAAGTAAACAAGAGACCAGCAGAAATCAAAAGGCTAGCGTGTGTCCAGATCGGCTACGTGATAAGAACCTGCACTGCATGAGCTATTATTAAAACATTATTCAACCACTGCAAAAAAAATAAAAATATCTCACAATGTTTTATCGTTCAAATTGAGTTTTCTCCAAACGAATGGTGACAAAAAGAAGCTACGCTGCATAAAAACGGGATGCATGAAGAGTACGTTTGAACAAATGGGATTCTGTGTTGCTACTCGGTTGTTGCGTCTCTTAAAGAAACAGTCCCAACATTTCGGGATTATTCACTTTCTTGCAGAGAGTTAGCTGCGATATCACTCTCATGTCTGTGCAGTAAATATGAACCTACAGGCAGCAACTTAGCATAAAGACGGTAAAACAAGAAAACAGCCGGTTCTCCGAAAGGTGACAACGTGCATCTTCTAGCGAGTCCGAAGCTCGCTAGTTAATTTTTTGGTTTCATTTGTACAAAAAACACGGTGTAAAAATCCCAAGAGGTGGTTTTAAGCAGGGCTACACGCCCATTGTTGCTAGATTAAGTCGATTTCTGCCCAACTGGGAGGTTTTAGGTTGGGAAAAATGGGCTTGAGCAAATGGACTGGTTTACTATGAGCTATACTGGTTTGGAAAGTATAATAAAGTCCTCCTTCAGTCATCAATTAAAGCTTAAAAAAATACATCTCTGTATATCAAAGGTACATATTTAGTAGGTTTATTTCCCTGGAAAATAATCCCAGCTGCAGCAAACCAGCTCACCTACTGTGAAGGTTGGACGCTGTAATATTGGATTACCGTAAGTTCCGGACTATAAGTCGCTACTTTTTTTTACACGCTTTGAACACTGCCGCTTAAACAATGACGCGGCTAATTTATGGATTTTTACGATTTTCACAAATTTGCCTCGAAACAAAAGTGACATTGAGAGCGACAACGAAAGAGAGACTGAGGAAGTGATTCTGAGGCTGTTCAACTCCGACACTGAAGACTTTAGTGGTTTTAGTGCAGGAGGAAGATGAAGATAGCGATCAATAACTTTTCCTGGTAGGCTGCTGTAGTTTTTATTTTCTTAACCAGTCGTGTTACAGGCACTGTTGGGGAAAAAGCATTTATTTATTTGTGTATGTTACTGGTACGTATTTAATTAAAAGTTTTTAAAAAAAAATTCTGTGTAAATATCTCATGTTACATAGACGAGTACAGCCTGTATATGTACAAAACTTGTTTTCTTTTTGAAGTTAGTGGGTGCGGCTTATATTCAGGTGCGCACAATCATCCGGAAATTACGGTAATTTAGCCACAGAACACATTTTTTTTAAACCAGAGAATGATTCAGAAGTAGAATAATGACACAGAAAGGCCTCCTGTAGGCTTCTAGCATATTAAAAACAAGGTGAAAAATAAAAAAAATCAGCACAGTACAACTTTGACACTTTGAGTTTTTGTTCATTCTGCTAATACGAGATATGAGTTAGCATCATTAGCACCGTGGATTACCCCGTTAGCACACAAGCTGTAGTGTTTCTGCACGTCTCTATCTGTTATAATAACCTCTGTGCTCACAACATTACAACATTTGTTTGGCTTTTTGATGCCATAAGAATGAAGGAATTCTCTGTTTGTGCTTGTTTCTCCGTCTTCCTTTCTGCAAATATAAGCTGAGTTACTGTCAAGGCTTTTTTGAGGTGTCCCTTTACCGCCTGCACTAAAAACAGTTTATTTGCATTGTACGATGTGGCCTCCTGTCTGCATTTTAACACAGTTTTAGCCTACTAGTAGTGTTGTGTTACGCCATAATGAAAAGTTGTGATGAATAGCAACACTGGAGCTTGTTTCAGTGAGTTAATTCGGATTTTTTTAATGATAGATAGGATTTGGGCATTTCTTTTTAAAATCAAATTTGGGTGTTTCTGAGCAGTTTTCAGGCTCGAAAGCATCGGAGCAATCTGGCTACACCGTACGTGCCAGATTATGAAGCTAACAAGCTGCTGGTAGTAGCTTCACATTTGGTTTACAGACATGAGAATGGCATCGATATTCTTGGCTAACTCCCACCAAAAACAGCAAACTGGTGTATTTTCCAAAACAATGCCTTTCGTTTCATCTCAGTCACAAGAACAACTGCATGACGTTTTCCTTCAGACGCGCTCCGGTGGAATGAGTTACCTCATGGTGTACAGCAGCGTGCCGTCGTCTTTGATTCTCAGCAGCTTGTTGGGCATCGTCATGTTGTGAGCCACAGACTTCTTCCCGTTGTGGAAGAAGGTGTCTGGAGTCCAGATCTTACTCGCCATCAGGTTGTTGAGCGGCAGGATATTCATCGGCCCGTGAAATTTCAACCGCTCGTCCTTCCAGGTTTGCCGGAAGAAAACATCTATAGTGTACTCCTGAGGACAAAGGAAATGGACTTTATTATTTTATTTGTAAGATAATACAACACCTGATGAATACAATAATTTAAGATACAATAAGATACAAAATATTCTGTAAGATACAATAAGATAAAATTTGATAAGATACAATAAGTTAAGATACTATAAGATACAATAAGATAAGATACAAAAGATGCTATTAGATATGATAAGATACAATAACATACAATAATATATGATACGATTAGATACAATAAGATGAAGTAAGATATAATAAGATAAGATGCGATTAGATACAATTAGATGCGAAAGATACGATAAGATACAAGAACACTAGATATGAAAGATATGATGAGATAAAAAAGATACAATAAGATACAAAAGATACACTAAGATAAAATACAATTAGATACGAAAGATACATAAGATACGATACGATAAAATAGGAAAGATACAATAAGGTACAATAAGATAAGATACGAAAGATATGAAAGATACAATAAGATAAAAAAGATACAATAAGATATGAAAGATACGATGAGATACAATAGGATAAGATATAATAAGATAAGATACAATACGAAAGATACGATAAGATACGACTTTATCAATTCTACAGGAAACTCTTGTGCCAATATTTATCAGATAAACAAATGACATAAAATAAGAAATGCGATGCCTAAAAGGTAAAAAGCAAAATAACATAGAAGTAAGATACGCTACTGTGAGCTAAAACAAGGCTAGAACAGAACAGTGAACGCTGGTCATACAGAGATAATAATCAGGGACATCACTCATCAATAGATTATGATATTGCACATGTATGGACGATGATGTTCATGAAGGTGAAATACTGCACATGTGATCAAAAAGTTGCAAATAAAAATGAAATCTTGAATGAGAAAATATTACATATCGCACATGAAACCAAATGCTACATATGATGCTACTAATAAACTAATAAACTATAGTGAGCTAGCATCGTGTCCAGTGATCCAGCCGTCAATCCTGCAGAAAGGGGAGGAGTCCTACACATAAATCATGTTTTTATAACAATGAGTCCCATCCTGCTGAGCGGACGTGAACTAAAACACAGTGCACTCTCCTCTCCAGTGTTTTACGGGAGCCCACAGGTTCCTTCACAGCTGACTTCACCTGCCACTTTAAAACCTGCCCACTTAAGGCTTTCTCTGTTTGTCAAAGCTCCATCAAGGTGAGGCCCTCGCGGCTCCCCGACTCGGTGTTTTCCTGAGCCGGCTCTGAGGCCGAGACAACCCCTTTGACCTACAATCCTCTGTTGTCAAAAGAAACCGCACACAAGGAAAGGATTTAGGGCAGAAAGCGCTGCACTGTGAAATGTGTGTCCGCGTGAGGGTTTGTGTGATTCACACTCAGCAGGCGACGGCGAGAAGCAGAGAGAGATTAAGTCCTCCACAGTTTTGTTTTTCTCGTCACACTTGAAAAGCCTCATGACATTTAGATCTTTGGACGCAGAAACTGTCTCCTGAAACCTGGTCTGGTGTAATTCTTTCAGGGTCTAAGAAAAACGATTCTGCTTCGTTACAGCTCAGGTGGCGCTTCTGTAGTTTTGGTCATTTTGAAGTAATGTTACAACAAATACCTGTAACTACCACATGCATATATGCAAGACTTGTCTGCACACTGTTTATTATTATTATTGTATATTTACATTTTATTACACTGTGTAATCTTTAAAATGTATTTCCCTATTGTATGTTTTTTTTTTTTTTTTACATTAATTTGTAAATCATTTCTTGTTATATTTGGCCCACGGTATATTTTTGCACACTAAATTATTTTTTACTTTTGTTTTTACATTTTACACAGAGCATATTTTGTAAACTATCATTTTTAATTTGAATTTCTATTTTAAACACTATATTTTTTACACACTGTTTAATTTTTACATTAAACTTCATTTCACCGTTTTGCACTCTGTATATGTATTTTTTTTACACTCTGTATTTTTCACATTACGTTTCTTTTTACATTTGGCACCTCATCCATCCATCAGCAGTAATAAACCTGAGCTGCCATCAGTGTCACAGTCAAGCAGGAACTTGTTTTTTATCAGCTGTGATTTTCCTCAAAAACAATCCTGATAATTTAGAGATTTTCAAAGTTTTTCTCTTTGCCATAGATCTCTAAATCTGATTTAAAACCCATGAGTGCAGCTCTTCGTGTGACTGTGTTACAGTGCGTGACTGTGAACGCTGCAGTTTATTTCAGGTCAGTCCCACATTCACCAGTGTGATGTTTTAAAATACTCCCAAATGTGAATTATTGACTGAATATAATGACTCAAACTAGAGGAGGACTGATTTGTTTTGCTTCTTTTTTTGTTTTTATCATTGGTAATCATGGAGACCGATTACTGATATTTATATTATTTATGTATTTATTTATAATCATTTTTAAAAAAATAAAGAAAAAGGTATAATTGAATTTCCCTTCTGGGATAAATAAAGTATTTTTCATTTCATTTCATAACCAATATAGCAGCAATATTGTGGTGGTAAAAATAAAAAAAATCCTAATCCCTTTTATCTTGAAAAGAAAAAATATGTTTAAAATGTTTAGTAAATATTTTTTTAAATTGCTACTTTACATAATTTTCTTTAAAACAACAACAACAACAACAACAACAACAACAAATTACAGATAATAACAAATAAATCAGAATGAAAAAGGATTATTTACAACTTGACCAACCATAAAGTTTTAAAAAAATTTTAAATCAGCTAAAAATATAATTTGACAAATTCCTGCTGTCATTTCCACAGTTTTTACACGTTACAGTATTCTAATATTATTTAATGTATTTAAAAACTACAGCCAGGTTCAGACAGATTTTTGCAGTTTTTTAAAACATTTTATTTTATTTTTGATTTTTTTTACAGTCTATCCATTGTCAAAACAATCCTACTAAAATAATAAGTACAGGAAGTAGAAAACTAATTTTAATGCAGGAATGGTTTATATTCTTCAGATTTTGATCCTCTATCTGATCATATCTGTATCTAATTAATCAAAATGCAGACATGCTCGTCTCCTCTTCGTGTTTCCGCTGCTCATAGAACTTCCTCCTTTTACTTCTTCGTCTAATTATCTTCTGTTTCATATCTTAGCGTTGGCCTTCTATAAATCCTACAAATCCTCCAACAAGTGGGCACCTCAGCAATCATGTGAATTGCTCCACAGTGTCTGAATAAATCAATCAGATCAGAGGGGAATGTTTCTCATTTTTATGAGACATCTGTCTGTGCAAGAGCAGAGCCTGAAATAAATAATGTATTTTTAGCCTTACGCCTAATTTTGCGGGACCATATGTTCATTTTACATATGAATAAGTAATGACGTTTTTAGAAACCTGAATGTACATCGATGACTTCACCCCGTGGATTTTACAAACTGTTTCTCAGGTTTGGAGCTCCGACGGCTGCAGCTGAAGCCCTGCTGATGACCTCTGCCAGCGAAATGAAAGGAAAACGAGGCTTTCCTGTCTGTCTGTCCATCTGTTTAGATATTTTTAAAGAGACATCAGGACTGTTTTGGCTGAAATTAGGCGGACAGATCACCCTCTGGACCAATTAGTCGATCAGATGTGGGGGAAGATCTGGATCTGGGATTTCCGCCACAAGACAAACAAATATTTTTTGGCTTTTTTATTTTTTTTAGATTTATTATTCTGTGTCACATAGACGCTGGTAAACGGTGGTTTTACGCTCAGCCAGGAGCCTTTGTGGCTTCCTTCAGAGGCCACCGCAATAAACATCCAGCCTCTTAATTGTTAAATCAATAGATCAATCACTTGGAAAATGGGTCCTCGACAATAGAGGGGAGGCCGATGATATGATGCGAAGGTGGGTGCGTGTTTCCGAATGATAAACAGGGAAGCCCAGGATAAACAAAGGAGTGACTTGAATACCAAGAAGACTTTCAATAATTTATAAGATGAAAATTGTCAGATGAATAGACATCGTGCCACATTGAGGAACACTCGTCCTACTTCGGTATCATGTAGAGAGAAAACACACAAAGCGATGGAGTGAAGGGGAGCCGTAATGAAAACCAAACGGAAGCAGCTTTTAAACACGAGCAGGCAGCCGCGTTGTTCTCTACAGCCGTTATGATTTAACGTGAGCGTTTAGAGACGAACAATAAATGATTTGCACTCACCATGTCTGTGTCTGAAACTGGTCCGAAGCTGGTGACGTAGATGTTTGTCTTCACCTCAGTTACCCTGTCTGGAGACGGAGAAAACATTCAAAGAGAAGAACCGCAACAAGAAAACACACTTTTTTAAAAAACTTTTTACTTTCTTTAACTGGTTTTAGACGTTTTAAGTTAAAAGCTTTGTTTTAATGTGGTGCTTTCCTGTTAGTTTTCACTGTCTTCAAGCAAAATTAGTACATTTTCGTGGAATAAAACTTTTTTTTTCCTGCTCTTTTTGTAGCTGTTTAGTGAATTTATACTCTGCATCTTCTCCTTGTGGGCTGGATCAGTACTGTCCGCCTGTTTACGAAGAATTTTACATGAAACTATGAGTGCATGTAGCGTTTCTGTGTGCAGTTTGCTTTGATTTATACCAACGCAACTCTTTAATATGAACCCCAGCAGCTCCTCCTGACTTTTACCGTCTGTGTTTGCCACTTGTAGAAACTGATAACGTAACAACGGCCGATAATGTAATACATTTGCCATTTTTAATACACAACACAACACAATAAGCCACAACGCTACAAAATTAACTACAACACTACAAAATTAACCACAATGCTACAAAATTAACCACAACACTACAAAATAAGCCACAACACAACACAACGGCTGCAACGGAAGTTATCCTGTGAAGTGCGCAACGCCACATGAAGTGGGCAGAAGCCAGAGATTGTTGGAAACAACTCGAAAGTAAATAAAATACTGATGGCAAATAGTGTCCATCAATCTCCGGCTTCTGTCCACTTCATGTGGCGTTGCACACTTCACAGTATAACTTCCGGGCTAAAAAAAAACCAACTTGCATTGCAGCCGTTGTGTTGTGTTGCGGCTTATTTTGTAGTGTTGTGGTTAATTTGGTTGTGTTGTGGTTAATTTTGTCGTGTTGCGGCTTGTTGTGTTGTGTTGTACCTTACTGTGTTGTGTTATGGCTTTTGTTTTGTTGTGTTGCGGCTAATTATGTAGCATTGTGGGTCATTTTGTAGTGTTGTGGTTAATTTTGTAGCGTTGTGGCTTTTGTTTGGTTGTGACACTTCTGGGCCACCGTATGTTTGCCACCGTTATTCAAACAGAACCACGTTATGAATGAACTCAGCTCCACTACACACACCTAAGAGTTGCCTTTACAGTAAGTTAAAGGCAGCTCTTGTAGGATTACATTTATTGCACCAAAGCTACGATTCTATACAATCTGTCCTAAATGTTGGTGCTGATGCGTCGGATAGGAAAAGCCTCGTACGTTTCCCCCCCATCAGGTGATAACGTGGGACTGCATCAGCGCTGCCGCATCAGGTCCATTTGCTTTCTCTACACTCCGTCTCCTTCAATAATTACTGAGGCTCAATCTCTCATGCTTGGTCAATTCAAAAAGCTTTCACGTTTTACTCCACTCTCTGTTCTACACCGCAAACAGCGCCTTGCGTACAATCTAAAGACATGATTACTCGCGGGGTAAAGTGCTCTCATGCATCGCAAGGTGAGCCGCATCCTTTCAACCAGACAGATTACACAAGTGGTTTACATCGGAGGAGGCTGCAGTTTACTCCGCCACGGGAGCGCTGACTGGGTTTCCGTCTTTAATCGCACAGAAAGAAGAACCCGGTTGGCGTTTTTCCAGAAACTTCAGTTTTGTTTCACCGCAGGCGACCAAAACCCGGCGCTTTAAAAACGACCAGACGTTCCTCTTTTGCCGCGTTTTCTTCCACTTTGCTCACATTTAGGCAGCAGCGGGAAGCAGTAAGCGCTTCATCAGCACCTGCTTCACACGGTGGAAGTCGGCCGTAAATCACAGGCTGCTGCTTTATAAAGCGCGCGTCGCCGTTTATGAGCTGATGTAAATCAAGAGGTAGCGGCAGGCTGCTGAGTTCAACCCATTTACGGATACATACGGTCGGGGGGCATTTATTTATATAAAGCAGACGACGGCGTGTGAATTACCGCTGATGGAAATGGATCGTTTGTTTTTTTTACTACTCCGGCACACAGAGGCCTCCGTTACTTTGATTTATTTATTTAGTCGAGGCTCACGTGGAACGCCGTGTCAGCAGAAACTCGTCTTTGACACTAAATGTTGTGGAGAATGGTGCATTTTGTCATTTATTGTACTTTGATATAGTCTAAAGGCTCAAGATGGCATGTTGGGGTTTTGTTGTGTTGTCTGAACGTTCAGTGAGAAGCTCAACTGATCCCACAATATAACATAGTTTATAATTAAACCCACCCACCAAGAGCTTCATTAACAAATAACAATAAGAACACAGAGAAGAATATGAATTCACAGGAATGAATGAAGACTGCCTGAAGTGTAAATTTGTCGTTCTGATTTCACCACCTGAACCAGACCAATGGGAAAAGTTCTACTTTAGGACTGTGTACAGCTTTTTCCACCACTTAACTCTTTCAACACTAAGCAAATGTGTTTTCCTTGTACTTCAACACTGAGTAACTTTGGCTTGAAATTCATGATCAGATGTGGTTTTGATTAATCACTCGTAAATTCACATCATTACACATCTGGCTTCAATCAAAAGTCGACAAGTTGACGGTTAAATATATGGACGTCTACTCTTGTCATATACATACAGGTGAAACACAGGTGTGAAAAAGGTAATCAGAATCAGCTTTAATGGCCAAGTAGGCACACAACATACAAGGAATTTGGTTCCGGCTGTTGGAGGAATTTGCAGGAATAACAGAAATAGGAAAATTTTAAAATAAAATAAAGTAAAATAACTACAGAAAGAAAAAAAATAAAATAAAATACAATAAATATGAATAAAAAATAAAACTTCATAATTACCAGGGATATATGCAATTAATTATCAGTTCTTATGTAGTGATACATCAGCCAGTCTAGTAATTAGTTAGTTGTGATCACTTATTATAAACATTTCAGAAACGAGGTGGTGAAAATCACGTTTTCTGGTGATTTTTGGGGTCAAATGACGTCATTTTACTTCATTTGTATGATTTATTTCATGACTGAATCGCTTGTTCACATCTCACTGATACACAATCAAAATGAATGTAACAGGAAGTCGCCATGTACCGGAGTCGCTATACTGGTCTGCAGTGATGAACAGGAGTCGTAAAGCCAGCCCGGTACAGCAGGCTATTGGGTCGAAAGGGTTAATTAAATGCATGGTTGCAAGATTTAAAAAAAATAAATAGAATCTAAGTTATTAGTTTACATAAACTTTTAAAGCTGCACTATTTCGAGTGTTGCTTCGACATCGTAACAGCTCAATACTGTGTTATTTAAACTCACATTTCTGCATTAGTTGATGATAAACTAAACTCAAGTTGAGGTAAATTATGAAATTGGTTTGATGACCTCATTTATTTTGTCTTGAGTTCAGGTTTTGAAGTCCCCTCTCCATCTGAACATACCTGGATCATTTCAGATAATTATACTGGTAATTACAAATAGTTGATCTGTTAAAGGAAAAGCCGATTCCTGTGTTGGTTTAACATAATTTTATAAGACGTTAACTTAAAAAGATTGACCCAAAATGTTTAATTGTTGAGTCCCAACATTATATTCTAGTGCTGGTGGATACCAGTGAGCAGTATCCTTTACTTACTGTGACACAACAGCACAGTGAATTAAATAGTGTTTAATACTGTAAATAATGAAACAATCAGCCATTTGTTTCTGCAAATTCCCTCATGACCATAAATGTTGAATATAAACATATTTATCCTGCTAATATTCAGTACGACTGTGGTTTCATCAGCTGTTTGCATATAAAACATATTATTTCTGTTTTCCCAAGTGTCTTACGGTCGACCTTTATTGTTTTGATGAAAGCTGTTTGCTCTAAATATCAAGTTTCGCTGCATTTTTTTTCACAGTTTTGTCATTTTTATTGCCGTTTTCCGTTTATTCTGCAAACTGAAGTGAGAACTGACCCCGTTACTTTGGATTTTTACTGCTAATGTCGTTGGTCATGTCTTTTTCTTGTTTGAAATTTGCTCTAATTCTATTTTTATTGCATGTGCTGCTCGTTAAAATACCCTTCCCCCCCCCGGTGTCGATGAATTGGTTGTTTTTTGTAGGAACACGGTGTATATAAATGCAGGCTTGTTGTAATTTGCTGCATAAAGTGCAGGAGGTGACTTTTGTTATATTGCACCATAAAAAATAAAAAAAATCACAACCCTGTATCAACAAGAATAAAAAATAAACAACATATAAAAACCAAATGCACCACCCAACGACAGCCTCAGTCCATTCGCATTGTGCGAGTGGAACAGATTCACAAGCAAAACTAACTAGATTTTTTTTTTTTTTTCAGGAAGCAAACCTAGAAAAGCACATCCCTCCGGGGAAATACGTGTTTACTAGTTAAAAATATCAAGAGTGCATTTACCGCCCGAGGACGCTAGGATATGGGAACAAGGACAATACCTAAAGTTCATTTATTCAGCGAGCACAGTCATAAAAACGTGCTTTTCATATAATCTGAATCATTTGGTACAGATGGGCCTGCTGAACCGTGTTTAATTGGTAAGACACAACCTGCCTGTGTTAGGGACTGTGCATTCCACTGTGCAGCTATCCAAATGTCAACTTAACTCTTGCCAGTTTGGATGGAGATTAAAAGCATCAGGAAACAAGACAAAAAAAAAAACAGCAAACGTTGGACCGTGTAAATGACATCAATTCAGAGACATGAGATCTTTGTCGGCCTCATTTGAATACACAGAACAAACTGTTGTGAGTTTTAATAGCGGCACATAAATTAGCAAACGTGCCAAACTGCTGCCTTCCTCTGGCTGCTGCCGATTACCGCCACACAAAAGAGACCCGAGGAGGTTAATTATCGCTTTTAATTTATTTCACACCTGACGCCTAATGCTGTCAGAGTTGTGTTTGATGCTACAATGTTGTTAGCATTGCTAGCTTTTGAAAGCTGGCGCCACCAAGATTATCATTTATGAAACAATCGATATCAATACAGTGCAAACGACAAAAATAATAAACAATTGAACTAGTAAAGAGATAAATTGGATATTTGCAAGAGGG